TGTGGGTGCCTCGCCCCGTTTAAAAAAACCCCCAAAAAAAAAAAAAAAAAAAAAAAAATCTTAAAAAACTTTGAGAATTCAGTGTTACTTTGAGCTGAATGCGTACTGTGGAAGAGCATTCCAGTCCGAGATTCTGGAAGTCAAGCCATGACATCAAGCATTGCTTCACGCCCAACTCCTTCATTGTCAAGCACAGCCGTTTTTATCGTTATAACTTTAAAGTCTGTGGTTGCTCCTTTCTTCTTTTTATTTATTTATTTATTTATTTATTTTTGGGAGATTTTTTTTTCCTATAGGGCATGTGTGCTCTCCAGAGAGAGAGAGAGACAGAGAGACAGAAAGTGAGAAATCACTCCCCAGGGGAGATGGGCGTGGCCACGCCTGCACAGAGTTGAAACTGCCGGCCCAGGACTCGAACTGCAGTCATGGGAGTCCAGCAATGTAACCATTACACCATCTGCTGGGTCCTCGGTTGTTGTTTTTAAAATAAATTTGTTGAACTAGTTAACTGGTATACATATTCAGAAATATTAAAATATAGATAGATTGAGGGCCATCTAGTGGCATGATGGTTAAGGCAGCTGGATCCCACGTGGCTGACTGTGTACTCATGTCCCGGACCTGGTGATTTGAAAATCATGCCGGGCGCATGTGCGTGCGTGCCGAAAATCCTGAGAGGGGAACGGAGGAGAAGGGATTGTGGCATGGCTACCCTCGCTACATGTGATTTCTCACTTTCCCTTACTCTTTAGTTTTCTCTCTCTGTATATATATATATATATATATAGGTTGATAACATTTTTATAATACTTTACTTCAATTATTGGTCTTCATGGTATTTTTATGAAGTTATTATGTTCAGTAAAGTGCAGCTTTTCAAAAATAATTATTTAACTTTATTTATTCATTTATTATTGTTATTTATTTATTGGAGAGGTTTTTCACTATAGGGCACGTGCGCTCGCCAGACAGACAGCGACAGAAAGACAGAAAGCGAGAAATCACCCCCCCAGGGGGGATGGCCACGCCGCCATCCTTTCTCCTCCATTCTCCTCTTGGTAACTCGGGCACGCACGCACACACGCCCAGCATCAGTTTAAGCCACCGGGTCCGGGACTCGAACCATGGTTGACTACATGGGAGTCCAGCGACATAGCCATTACACTAACTACTAGTCCCTATTATTGTTATTTTAACTTGCTACAGGACACCTGCACTCACCAGAGAAACAGAGAGAGAGAAGGAGAGTGAGAAAGCAAGCTGCCATGCCTGGGACTCGAACCACAGTCAGCCATGTGGGCATCCAGCGTCTTTACCACCATGCCACCTGCTGACCTCCAAAATGCAGCTTTTATGACCACTATTCCCTGCTAGCAAGAGTGCTGGAGGCTTCTTGGATGTCGTAGATTGTGTATTTCTTACATCCTGACATCTGAGAGGGTGTGTCAGAAAGGATCATCAGGGGGCCAGCAGACGGCGTAATGGCTATGTTGCTGGATCCCTGTGGTATGACCACGGTTCGAGTCCCGGACCCGGCGGCTTAAACTCATGCCAGGTGCGTGTGCGTGCGTGCCCAAGATCCCGAGAGGAGAATGGAGGAGAAGGGATTGCGGACTGGACATCCCCCTGGGGGGTGATTTCTGGCTTTCTGTCTCTCTGTCTCTGTCTCTCCAGCAAGTGCATGTGCCCTAGAGCAAAAACTTCTCTTAGGAAAACAATCATCAGGGTGTGAGTGACGAAGGTCGAAGGTCGGCTGGCGGAAGACAGCGCAGGGAGCTGTCAGCGGAGTCCCTGGCTGCCAGTCAAGGATTATGACACCTGACACCAGCTGGGGCCGCCTCCTATGCAAAAGGAAGGGACTTGACTGAGCGCCAACGGCCAGGTCCTTTCCAGGAGAGCTGTAATTTGGTAGAAAGAGCTTGCATACATTTCTTTGTTTCCCTTTATTTTATTTTATTTTTTTTTTGGAGAGGTTTTTGCTATGGGGCACGTGTGTTCGCCAGAAAGACAGAGACAGACAGAGAGACAGAAAGCGAGAAATCACCCCCCCACCCAGGGGGGATGGCCACACTGCAATCCCTTCTCCTCCATTCTCCTCTCGGGATCTTGGGCACGCACGCACACGTGCCCGGAGTGAGTTTAAGCCACC